TATATATAACGGTTTTTTATTTGAAAAATAAATCATAAAAGATCAGTATTAATTTTAAAAGAATTCTTATGCCAAATTGTCTATTTTAACGTAATACATTTTATTATTGAAAAATAATGAAATACCATGGAAAATGACTCATATATTATTGAAAGTGCTAGTTCAAGGTAAACATACACCAATAGTTCTCAACTTTACGTCTGACTTAAATATCTCATTATGTATGCCAAGGTTTTAACCATTTCATTATCTTCCAATAATAAAATGTATTACGTTAAAATAGATGGTAAGACAATTTAATAAGAATTCTTTTGCAATTAATACTGATCTTTTGTGATTCATTTTTGAACTGTTATTTTGATCTCTCGCCTGGAACACTATGTTTGATTCAAGATTTTGTAGTGTAAGTAAATGAGTTTTCGATCACGTGTATCTTCATAAGTATACGTTTACAAATTATTATTCTAATTAATAATTAATATCGTGAAGAAAGATGTTCTGATAATCAATTTCGTAATAACATTATACCAATTCTTTAAACCGCGCGCGACAAAGCGTCGATCGAAGATCATAGCGCGCGAAATACCATGCACTCGGCATGGTAACCGACAGCGGAAGTGCAAGATTGCCCATTCTTTAATCACGCGATTGCGCCTCTAGCGCGATGAATATTACCATATATGGTCCGACCGAAGACCAAAAGCGACATCATCAAACTCAATATAAGCGACCGCCTAATTGCCGAGCGCAGAGTCTTGTCTTGAAATCTAAACGTAACGATACGTTAGGCTGGGTCCACAATCTCGCTTTAAGAGGCCCTAAGCCGTAAGCATTAAGCTTTAAGTGACGTATTTCCTTTCTTTAAGCTGTTCCCGCGCAGTCCTTAGACCTTAACCGTAAGATTTAAGCAAATTGCGCAAAACCCAATTCTTACTGTTTAAAGCTTAAAGCATAAGTTCGCTCGCGGACTTCTGACGGCTGTGCATGTGCGATGATAGTATATGTACGTCTTGTAAATATTATAATAAATAAAAAATTAGTTAATAAATGCGTGATAATGGAAAACTCGAGCGTGATAGAAGTTTCGATGAATGAAACCGTGCAAGACGAAATCCTAGTCACTTTAGTGAAAGAGAATCCGGTGTTATACAATAAAAAGAACCCGAATTATAAAAACCAAGAAGTAAAAAAGGATACCTGTAAAATGATTTCAGTACATTGTGGAATGTCGTCAGGTATGTTGATGTTTGTGCATGTGTTAAAATGTGTAATTTACAATTTGTTTATCCTAACCTCTTTGTTCATACAGCTGAAGAAGTAGAAAATAGATGGAACCAATTGCGAAATTATTTTGGAAAAAAATTAAGAGAAATAAAGGCAAAACCGGCCAGTGGATCAGGTGGAGGAGAAAAAGCTAAAAAAGTAGAATGGTATCTCATGGGACTTATGTCATTTTTGATCCCACATATTAGTCACCAAAGGTGAGAATTTTGTTGAAAAAAATATTTTTGCTAGTCAACAAATGTGTATTTATTACAGAGGTCGTAGTTCTATGGGAAATCAACATTTGTCTACATCATCTACATTATTCAAGATTTCTTCCCCTGTACCACAGTCATTTGTAAGCAGCAAAGGATGCATCATTGAGTCTGTACAGAACAATAGTGTAGATGTTATTAATGATAATGCTAGCTCAGAATGTGAGAGTTTTGTGCAGAACGATAGTGTAGATATTGTTATTGACAATAATGCTAGCTCAGGATGTGAGAGTTTTGTGCAGAATGTTAGTACAGATATTGTTATTGACAGTAATATTAGCTCAAGATGTGAGAGTTTCGTGCAGAACGTTAGTAAAGATATTATTATTGACAATAATATTAGCTCAGAGAGTTCTAGGAGCTATGATTATGTTAAATCAAAGCCTGAAACTAATTCTGTCCTTTTAAAAAAGAAAAAAGTCATGCCTGATTTAGATGCTTTTGCAAAAAAGAGGCAGAAGAATGATAGTGATGTAGAAAACCTCTTGGCACAGTCAACCTCAGTCGTAAATAATCTTACAACAGTTGTGCATAAATCTATTTCTAAATGTAGTCCTGACGAAATAAATGAACAAAAATATAAAGCAAATCCTTTTGCTGAGAGCATTGTAGCTGCATTTGATAAAGTGCCAATTATGAAACAAATAGATTGTTTAATTGCTATATTGAATATAATCAAAACTTATCATCAAGATGATTGAACACAGTATTAAATTGTTTCTATGGTTTGTTACAATTTGTGCCTCCGTTTATTTTATATTTTGTTTATTTAATTCTAATTCTAATTTTACTTAATCTTAGTATTTAAAAAAATTCTTTTTTTCTTTTAAAGATATATATATCCCGCCACTTTCCGTCAAATGGTCCTTTAAATGCCTTATATGGACATTTCAATGGGACTGACAGACACCGACAATAGAAAGAAGAAGTGAGATAGAATACAGTGCCCTGATTGGTTACGTGCCTCGGTCGCGCATGTGCAGTTTATTTTTAGCTACGGTGAAATCATGAGAGTTGTGCTACTGTATATACTGTGATATAATATAGAAAAAGAGTTAATAGAAAGAGAAAGAGATGTTCAAAGGCAGTGGGAGGATGCCAAAATTAGGGATGCGAGATATAATAAGAAATATAAGGAGATAGAGGCTGAGGGAAAAGGTCCGAGATATCTAAAGAAGGTTAATTTACAAGAGTTACAGAAAGGGGATGAGATTAGGGCTTTAGTGAAGCTTAGATGTGAAAATTTAAAAGAGGCAAATAAGTTTTGGAAAAGGGAAAAGGAGAATAGAGAGATAATGTGTGTATTTTGTGGTGATGGTAAAGATGATTTGGAATATTATGTGAAGTTTTGTGAGAAGGTAAAAGGGTGGTTTCAAGAGCTAGGTGAAAATTCAGACGAGATTATTAAAATACTTAGGGATGAGAATTTAGATGAAAAAAAAAGGAAAAATTCTACGGAGGTTGTGGAAAGAAAAAAAAAAGGAAAAAGAAAATGCAAATAAGAAAAGAGAGGTTGATTAAAGGAAGGCGAAGGAATCAGTAACGTAATAGACTAAGGATAGGTAAAGGATGGATGATTGGTGTTAAATGGGCTGTGGTTAAATCTAGTATGTACGAAGCTGTGATAATTTGTATAATTTGTATAAGTAGAATAAGATATTATGAGATTAAATAGAATGTAATAATGACTAGGCATAGGATAAGGATTAGGATGAGGATAGGATAATGGAAAGTTTTATGTTAGATTGTATGGGTTATGAATGTTTAAGAAATATATAACCAAGTCCCCTTCTTGGCTATTTTGTAAAGCTGAAGTGTAAATAAATACTACTATATAAGCGTTATAATAAAATATATTACAATACTAAAATGCATATATTTACTTTTAGATGAATTTAGTAGATTATTTTATAACAAAAACTTCTTCTTTTCGGAATGAATCTCAACGCACTGTAACAATTCGATAATTGTGCCAGTCGACGCACTTGATGCGAACATACATTATAGAAATAAACACGATATTGTGAAAAAAACTTGGCAATTTTTCTTTTAACACATATATGTGACAAATACGTAATTGCAGAACAATTAAAACACTACATAAAAAGTTTGTGTCGTTAACGTTTAAGCGGGGAGCACAGACTTTTGCATAACGCATAAACCATATACATAAAGAATTTGATTGGTCCATTGACTCATGCATAAGAAAATGGGCCAATGAAATTCCTTATGCACATGCTTTATGCGTTATGCAAAAGTCTGTGTTGGGGTTTTTAAACTTGACAAAAAACTTCGTAATGCAAGGATATTGCTTCGGGAGAATTGGACATACCGTGGACGCAACATTGATATTTATGGAAATAATGTTAAAATATATGTTCTTATAGCATTGTCCACCGAAATTGACACAAAACTAAATGAATCATTTCATAAAGGGTGAATAAATTTCTTTCCATGCATAGAAACGAGGGTTAGTCGATGTTACGTCCGGGTTCGCGAGAAGGAACGCGTCGGACGCGGTGTGAAATCGTTCGTTGGAAAAGAGATTATTCGGCAAGCAATCATGGTAGGCAGTGTTTTGATTAAATGAGGGCTTCGATCAGCGAGAAAGAGAGACTACGGGCCGAACGGAAACGCGCATCTACTCCTACTCAATCGATCGTCCTCATCGCGTGACGTAAAAATATCTCTCGATATACCGAGTTGATGAGAGATATTTTAATAGAAATAATTACTGCCGTGCATGGTTGTCGCGACTATCGGCAGACAGTAAGCAAGAACACAAAAAAGAAGGCAATGTAGTGCAACGCCGATGCTACTCTGTCTACGAAATGTCTATGAATTCTGTGGAAAATAAAATAGAATGTAGTAACTAAATGATGAATTCTTATTTACGCTGTGGTCGCGAGTCGCGCAAATCTTAATCCTAAGAGAAAAAGATGAATAGAGAGGAAAAAGGAAAGGGGGGGGGGAATGAGAAGTGCTCTAACGCTAACGATACAGATATTTTTTGTAGATACGATAAGAACGGTAAGAGCTGCTCTTATTAGGCGCGCTACCCAGCGGAAGAAGGAAACGCACGCTCGACACTCACTCACACACACATAAAAGGACAAACCAAGAAAAGTAAAAAAAATTGTAATTCATTAACGTTCTATTATTGAGTTTAATACTGTTACACTTAAATAAAAGGTGAAAGAGCCGCACAAAATATTGAATCGTGATACGCCGAAGAGACGGTAAAACCGATAACTTGAGTAGGCGATCACTTATAAAGCAAAGAAGGAATGAGGCGGGTTTCGTATAGGCCTCCCTACACGGTCAATAATACTGAGTCAGTATTACTGATCAGTATTACTGACAGTATACATTAATTTTTATAATCTTATACGATCAGGTATTATTGATAATATTTCACTTCAATTTGACGTGATTTGACGTATATTATTATCTTTTATTTCACTATCTTGTCATATAATATGAATTTTTCCCATAAAATATATCGTTTAATTAAGTAGTCTTCAAAAATTCTATCTCTAAAGATCTAAGAGGTACCATCCTTATACACTTATTTAATTCTAATGACATGTATCTTTTGTATGTATATATCATATAAACTTACCTTTTTAAAAAAAAGGTAGAAAAAAGTGCTAAGAGTGGGTGCTGCTGGACAAAAAACCATTTGGGCCAATTTCATCAACGTCAATTATTTAATCGACTGTGAAACTGACCAATCACATTTGCTGTTTAGTAGAACCATCTTTAAAAACCTACGTGATATTATCCTTATTTAATTAATTCTAATGACATGTATCATTTGTATAAAAGATTTGATATCAATAGTCGGCGCCAAGTTAAATTCTAATCTTTAAAAACCTACGTGATATTATTCTTATTATTTACTTAAATCAATGACATGTATCATTTGTATAAAAGATTTGATATCAATAGTCGGCGCCAAGTTATTCTACCTTATTACTTACTTAATTTTAATGACATTTATCATTTGTATACAAGATTTGATATCAACAGTCAGCGCCAAGTTAAATTTTACCAAATTAAAAAGTAAAGCACATGTAGTACCTTTAATCTTTAAGAACCCATATAGTACTATTATTTAAATTTCACTAAATTAAAAAGTAAAACCTAAGTGGAATTATCTTTATTTTTATACAATGAAACCTAAGTATATGCCTTTGTATTCTTATTAAAAGATCTTCCTATTCAAAACCAAGTGATTTAATTCTTCTTTAAAAAAATTAGATCACAATTAATTTAAAAACAAAATGAAAAAGATTTATTTAAATAGAAAAATTTTTTATGTAAAAACACTTCGCGCTGCTAGTTCTCGATCTCGATGTAATAAAATATAATGATAAAGATAAGAAACATTTTCACGAGAATTAAAGTATTTAGTGTGTATATATTCGTGTATATGTATGTGCGAGTGAATTGTATCTCAATCCCAAAAAAAAGTAAGCTGTATTTATTAAATGTAGCATTTAGAATATGTTTACTATAATTTTTAAATTATCATTACCCTTACATATATTTGTATTAATTTTTATAGCTTTTAAATAGTTTTCATTGTTTTTCTTATTCGCTCTAGCAGCGCGAAGTGTTTTTACATAAAAAATTTTTCTATTTAAATAAATCTTTTTCATTTTTTTTTTAAATTAAGTGTGATATAATTTTTTTAAAGAAGAATTAAATCACTTGGTTTCGAATAGGCAGATCTTTTAATAAGAATACAAAGGCATATACTTAGGTTTCATTGTATGAAGATAAAGATAATTCCACTTAGGTTTTACTTTTTAATTTAGTGGAATTAAATAATAGTACTATATGGGTTCTTAAAGATTAAAGGTACCACTTGTGTTTTACTTTTTAATTTGGTAAAATTTAACTTGGCGCCGACTGTTGATATCAAATCTTGTATACAAATGATAAATGTCATTAAAATTAAGTAAGTAATAAGGTAGAATAACTTGGCGCCGACTATTGATATCAAATCTTTTATACAAATGATACATGTCATTGATTTAAGTAAATAATAAGGATAATATCACGTAGGCTTTTAAAGATTAGAATTTAACTTGGCGCCGACTATTGATATCAAATCTTTTATACAAATGATACATGTCATTAGAATTAATTAAATAAGGATAATATCACGTAGGTTTTTAAAGATGGTTCTACTAAACAGCAAATGTGATTGGTCAGTTTCACAGTCGATTAAGTAATTGACGTTGATGAAACTGGCCCAAATGGTTTTTTGTCCAGCAGCACCCACTCTTAGCGCTTTTTTCTACCTTTTTTTTAAAAAGGTAAGTTTATATGATATATACATACAAAAGATACATGTCATTAGAATTAAATAAGTGTATAAGGATGGTACCTCTTAGATCTTTAGAGATAGAATTTTTAAAAACTAGTTAATTAAACGATATATTTTATGGGAAAAATCCATATTATATGACAAGATAGTGAAATAAAAGAAGGGAGGATGCAATGTATCGAAGTTAGTATAAAAATTTATCTTTTACTAAAATATCTAGAAAATTATTTGTCAATGTCCTTAAAAGGAAATGCGTACTAAAAAAAAACAAATAATACTTTATTTGGCGTAATCTTGATTTTCTCATTACTGTGTTTATTTTGTGAGTTGCCTTTTACTATATTATCATTTATTTGTCTGGTA